ATCATGATGAAGATAAGTAGACGGCTGTTCATCTGTGGCCATCACTCGTTGGATCTCAGGGCAGGGGTGGGATTCACATTTCTTAACCTGTTCTGTGGGCACGGGCTAATTGGTGAGTGTGGCTTGCTGGTCAGGTGACTGGGTGGGTGTGGCTTGCTGACTGGGCGTGGCTTGGTGGTCATGTGACTGGCTGGATGTGGCTAGGTGGTCATGTGACTGACGGACCAAATATAAGTGGTCCTCGCTTAATGGTCAGTTGCTTAGCAAGTGTTCTAATTTACGACTGACCTCCCCAGAGCTACTTGACCTGTTTTTGGTGTTTTGACAGCGATGCACACACACAAACACGCAGTCAGCTGCTGGCTATTTTCTTGGCATGCGATCTATAGAACTTGGGTTTATCTACCTCTATCCCAGCACCCCACACTGGCTATCGTTATAGTTAATACTGCTATATTTAGATTTTTTAAAAAATGATTTGTGGCTGAAGAAAAATAGATTTAATTTGGAAAGACCTATCTTGGGTCACCTTTTGAAGTGACCTCCATTCGAAAGAAGACAATTGTATTTTAAGCCTGGATAACAAATCATTGTTTTATTCCGGGTTGGCTTGTAGTCATCCAAGAGGTCAAGGTAACTTGAGCACTTACATTGGACCCAAATATCCAGATACTGAAACTGAGCTGCAGTAAATACCATTCCAATAAATTACATAATTCTTTAAATAATAACAACAACAACATTTTTACTCTTATGTGTTTCAATGAGCACCTATACAGGGCAGTAAATAAAGTTCTGTTTGAGTTTTTCTATCCCCCCCGTGGACATCTTCATATGCGATTATTATTCCTGAATGAGGAGATGAGAACTGGGACGCCTCCCTCAAAGTTATTCCTGAAGTTACTCAGAGAGACGGATTCCAAAGCCAACTTTTTTTTTTGTTACAATCACTCAGAGAATTAAATACTGTTTTTCCACCGTACTTCCTCCCCTCCACTGCTTTTCCTGGCATTGGTTCTTGTATTTCCAGTTACAAGTTCTTCAGCAAAGCAAAGCACAATTTCTATCTGAAAATGTTATGAGCTTCTGTATCCTAAAGTAAATTAATCAATGGCTGCCAGAGCTCAGTGCCACATCCTGATACGGCCGAGGAATATTCTGAAGGGGATTAGAATGGGTGATGAATTAGGAAGGGTTAGAGGTCTGACTTTTTCAGCAAATGGTTCAAAGATTTCTCAGCTGAATTTTGGGGATCGTCCATTGGATGAAGCATCTCTTATGATCACCATACTTGGCCATTCCTGTCATCCTCATTCCAGCCAGAAGAACGCTTTTCTTGAATATGTTCGTTTCAAAGATGTTAAAGTTGCAAAGTTTCTGTTGAGGATGTTCAGGCTTTAATGTTTATCTATTTAGAAAGGGGGGAGTTTCTTAATTGTTAAGCCATATAATTGGCTTGCAAGGCCATTGGATGCCCATTTACTTGGGAGTAAATCCTCCAATGCATAGGAAATATGCTGGCTTTGAAGATTATTTCGGTGAGTTTTGATGGCCAAAATAAGAATAACCAAACAACCCAGAGACTGCCCACTTGATCTATGCCGCCTACCGTTAGACTTAAGCGTAGCACACAAAAATATTTGCTACAATGTCCTACCAGTCAATGACTACTTCAGCTTCAACCACAATACAAGAGCACACAACAGATATAAACTCAGTGTAAACCACTTCAAACTTGATTGCAGAAAGTATGACTTCAGCAACAGAGTGGTCAGTGCCTGGAATGCACTACCTGACTCTGTTGTTACATCCTCTAGCCCCCCACTCCTTTAACCTCAAACTATCCCCAATTGACCTCACCCCATTCCTAAGAGGTCTGTAAGGGGCGTGCATAAGTGCACCATGGTGCCTACCGACCCTGTCCTATTGTCCCCATTTATTTGTTCCAACTTCCTGTATTCTTACTCATGTTTATACTTGCACCTATTATCTTGTGATTGACAAATAAATAAAAATACATAAAAATAAATAATCTGTATGTGTACATTTCAGTTATCTTGCCTGACTGTAAAACTTTGCTTTTTTTCACCACTGAATTTCATTTTGTTACATGGGTCCCAGAATTCAAGTCCGTTGAAATTCATCTGCCTCTTGAGCCTCTCTTCTGGAGCCCTGGCTATTCCGGCCAGCTTAGCGTCGTCTGCAAATTTGATGAGTTCCCCATCTATCCCTTCATCCAAATCATTGATGAAGATGTTGAAGTGTACAGAGCCTAAGAAGGAGCCATGGGGTACCCCACTGCACTTCTCCCTGCGTAGAGATGTAGTTCCAGTGAGTTTGGAGAGACACGAGGTCCGAGAATTAAGAGATTTGCTGAAATACTGCAGCAGTCTGGAAGGGGGGACACAAAGGGTCTCGTGGTTTGGAGACGGACTCAACTGGTGTACCACCAAATGATGACTAAAGTGACTCTGGAGGAAAATGGAGGATTTGCAGTTTGTGAAGCATTATCTGATATCCCAACCTTTAAAAAAATTAAAAAATTTCCAGTGGGTTAGTGGCAAAAGGTATTATCTGGAACACAATCATGGTTGTATTGGAACTGTGCCCTTTTTTTAAACCAGGAGCCAAATGAATGAACGCCATGTCTCTATTTCATTTATTCCTGTAGGTTTATTGAGAGAGACAATGTGGACAGTATAATAATTTTGAACAGTGCGCGATGTTTGTTTTGCATGAGCAAAGATAGGTAAACATCTCTCTTAAGCTCTTTTGTCTTTGGAAATCCAACAAGATTAATTTTAAGCTGAGGTCTTAAGCTCCATCAAACCTGAGGGGGAAGAAGGAATTGAACTATCTGTACATTTCAATCGGTCAACTTGAAGTATTAAAATACCCATAATCGGTATATATGTGAATTAGTATTCTTTTTATGAATTAGAATTAGAAATCTTTTTTATTGGCCAAATGTGATTGGATGCACAAGGAATTTGGGGGATTTAATGAAATTTTAGTTGATGGAGAGAGCATATAATTCTGTGCATCTCAACCTCACTTGAAGCACTAAGATAATTGTAAGGAATTGCTGTCCAAGATGTTCAAACTTTGCCTTGATTTAAGAGATTTTTTTTTTAAAAAAAACAAGAGACACCAGCGCTCATCCAGGATCCTGCGCGGCCATGCTGGTTCCCGGCGGCCACCACTAGGGGTCAGGCGCGGACACTCTGGGACGCAGCATGGAGATTTGGCGGCGTCAGGAAATGGGTTTCTGGTTCTGATGCCGCTTCTTTTATTAAAAAAACAAAAGCCTCCAAGGCACAAAGGCGCCATAAGATCTCAGGGCTTCTGAGCTGTTTTCTTGCAGGCGTCTCATCGGCAAACCAGGCAACGCCATCAGTGCAAGGAGGGGATGTGGGGTTGCCCTTTGGGTGTTGGAGGCGGGGGGGGGGTCTTAAGAACCAAGATCTGGGAGCCATTGATCAGCTTTGCTGGCTGAGGAACTCTGGGAGTTGAAGTTCACAAGCCTTAAAGGGGCCCAGGTTGGAGACCCCTGCACTAGAATATGGAACTGGCAGAAAAACCCACCCACGTTCCAGCCTGAAAGGCCGCTAGCAATCGGTACTTTCACTAGGACACCCTAAACGGCCGCCAACCACCACCAGACGTCCACTAAGATGCTCTACATGGGCATATGCCTACGCAACCCCCTTTCCAACAGCTTCCCGATGCTCTTTGACACCGTGGAAACAAGAGTACCATTGAAACCCTAAAAGGTCCAACCCCCTGCTTAAACAGGAAAACCTATAGCATTTCAGGCAAATAATTGTCCAATCTCTTCTTAAGAACTTCCAGTCTTGGAGCCTTTACAACTTCTGGAGGCAAGCTGTTCCACCGATTAATTGTGGAACGATTCATTTTAATAGGATAACCTGTATTGTCACTTTTGTTTGTGAACACACCAGCACACATTAAAACATGAAATTCTAATGCCAGCCCTCAAAGGAAAACATATCCACGCACACATGCACATAAATACATACGTTAATCACGTCCATTCTGAGCACATCACCTGGTTCATTAGCGTTCCAACTCTTGCCTTCAGGTGGTCTCAAACAGGCTCATCCATAACCTAACCCCTTAATTTAGTTATGTATCTGTTTGCTTTTTTAAATTCTAAAGGCCGTGGGATGGATACGCCAATCCTACTTTGGGTTCCTTTTTCCTTTCCCAAATCAGAAAGAGCCAGGTGGCATCTTTTTCCATGTAACCAATTTGGCTGAGTTGAAAGCTGGTTCCCTTTAATAAGATTCTGTCAAAACTCTCCCAAGTTTTGGCTTTCGATGCGCTAATATGGCTCCCCTCTCCTCCTCCTAAGGATCACCCTTCCAAGGAGGATCTGGGAATCTTCGGGTTAGAGCTTGCTTTAAATTCTTAGTTGTAGCTCTGGCTGTATCTTTTTAACTTCTTACATCCCACATACTTTGTATTACTTTATTTCCTAAGTTTACTGTTATTTTACTGTATATTGTGGTACGTTATGTTACGACCTATGATTATAACAATAAACTAATGAACCAACTTGCCATATGGTGGAAACCGTGATCAGAAAAGTCACAGTGCAGACAGCCTAAACGCTACCATGGAGAGTCCCTGGTGCTCTCTGAGCTGGCTGGTTTTTCTTGTAGACCTTTCACGACCCAACCAGGCAACATCATCAGTGCTAGTCACCTAGTTAGGGTCTTAAAACGCCGGCAAGAACACAACGCTCTCCAGGGTTGACATTTTAGGCTCCATGGACTGACTTGGCCCAAAAACGTTCTGAGAAATGAACTTCCTGAGTAAAAGGGGGACTCCGTACACTCCCATTCGCCAGGCTGACGTTTCCGCTGTTCAGAGGATGACTCCCTTAAGCAACCCCCGGAGGCTGGCGGGTGTCTTGGCTGGGCTGCTCCTTTTGCCCTAGGAAGCAGAATAAACGGACGCAGAGGCTGCCAGGATCGCATGGAGGCTTTTTATTCAGCAAAGTTGAACCAGCAGCTCTTTATCCCCCGGCACGATTCGTCTCTGGTTCAGCTCAGCGCTGCCATGGGCGTAAGGGCAGGAGGCCGAGGGCAGAGGGCAACCTTGAGGGTGATGCCGGTCGAACCAGCAGAGCCGGGTTTTCGTGGCTTCAGAAGGGAGCCGGGCTCTGGCCGGCCTGGCCCGGAGCTGCTTCCTGGGCCTCTCCCCTTCCCTCCAGTCGCGGAGGCGAACTTTCCCATGCTGGACTGAGGGGAGGAAGCAACAGCGACAGACCGATTAGTGCCAGCAGGTGAAGAGGCCCCCATGCCCCTCCCCCAGCCTCACCGGAGTGTGTGCATGCGCCCCGGGCAGCGACCGAAGACCGCGGTCCTTCCTCCCACGGAAATCCAGCTTCCCCCACGGATCTGAACCACCTCCTCGGTGCTGGGGGTGTTTGTGACTAGCTTTGGGGGGGCACCAACGTCCAGAGTGGGGCGGGGAGCTTCGCTGGTGGGCCAGATTGAGCGGCTGGCATTTTGTGAGGCTGGAAAGAGGATTCCTGTCCCCGAGGAACCGCCAGGGCACCTTGAGAATCCAGGCGATGGGCAGATTAAAACCCCAAGTGGCGGTTTTTTTGTCTGCAGCCCACTAACAGACCAATAGGATTACAGGGAATTACTTAAGTCATTTTAGGAGATCCTAAAATTTGAGAACTAGTGAGATACGGAATTGGTTGAGCGATTCTGTTGTTTTAATTATACTAAAAATAATAAAGTTGCAGATAAAATTTGGTCTGAATTTTGAAACTTTTGTGGTGATTAGCATTGCTACTCCTAGTAACAAGCCTCCTTTGAGAGGACTATGAAGTTGCTTACAATATTAAAAACAGAAAAATACTATAGGGTCAATGGTACGACCAATAAACTGAATTGAAATATGTTACAAATCCCAAGGCAGACTCTCGACACCAAAATCTGTGGAAAGGACGGGATGACTAGCAAAGAAGCCTCCGCCTGGTGCAACGCAGAAGCCTCCGTGGAGGAAGTCCCCCTGGAGAGGAAATTCCACAACGGAGGAGGAGGAGGAGGAGGAGGAGGAGGAGGAGGAGGAGGAGGAGGAGGCTCCTTTCTTCCAGACCCTCCCTGCTCTGGGCCCGGAGGAAACACGGCCGAAAGGTCTTTCCAGGACAACCACGGCCCCCAAGCAAATGCTGGAAGAAGAGCCGCTCTTCACCCCAAAGGCCTCTAAAACGGAGCCCAGGGAGGGAGGGAGGGAGGGAGGGAGAGGGGCGGGGCGGCCTCCTCACCTTGGAACACCTGGTGGTTATTCCTGAGCAAGGTCTGCAGGCCTCCGTGTTCCTTCTTCAGGGTCTTCAGAGTCGCCTTGTCTAAATGCCCGGCAATGTCACTCAAGGGGAGGCTCCCTATCGGAAACAGAGTTTGTGTGTAAAACGCTTCGACTCTTTGGGGGCTCCTGGGAAGGGGGGTCCCCTTGAGAACATTTGCTTCTCCCTCCCCTCCTCCCCCCCCCCTGGGGGGGGGGGGAGGGAGGGAAATAAGCCCCCCCCCCCTCCTTTCCCGAAAGATGCTTCTTAAAACAAAAACAAGAAAAAGGGCCGTACCCAAAAGGTTCCTTTTTCATTGTGCGTGAGCGGAAGGCCGGCTCTCACCTCCGCGGTTCCAGGGGCTGGAGGGTCCGTGGAGGAGGCTCCCGTCCGTCTCGCTGAGCAACAGGTGGGCCACCTTCAAAGCCACCTGGTCCACCAAGGCGTGTGGGAGGGTGGTGCAGTTCCTTACTTGCTCTTTGCCCCGGGGCAGAAACCCGGGGGGCCGGGAGGGCCGCCCCTCTCTCTCCTCTGCGCACCGCCGCTGCCCGGCAGCCGAGAGGCTCTGCTCCTGACGCGGCCGGGGGCGGCTCCCACCCGGGGCCAGAGTGACGGGGCCGCCGGGCCGCCGCTTCCTGATGAACTCCCTCCTCTCGTCCTCCAGCGCCGGACCGTCCGCCCCTGTCCTGGACACCCCAATCAAACAGACCTAAAGCAAAGAGGGATCCTGCTGTCAAGATCCTCAGCGGAAGGATCTTCTGGGATCCACAGGCAAGGCCTCTCGGGGCCCCGATGGCTTCAGAAAGCCCACGGGCAACACGTGGGGGGGGGTGTCCCCGGTTTACGACAGTTCGTTTAGTGACCGAATGGCACAAAGTTACATGTGGCTTACGACCATTTTTTTCACACTCACGGCATTTGCAGCCTCGTCCTGGTGATGTGATCAGAATTCAGATGTTTGGCATCTGACTCGCGCTTACGAAGGACGCAGCGTCCCGGGGGGGGGTCCCGGGGGCCCCTTTTGCAACCTTCTGATCCACAAAGTCAACGGGGAAGACGGGTGGCAAGAAAGGCCGTAAAATGGGGGGGGGGAGTGGAACCTCACTTAATCGAAGTCTCAGTTAACAACATGAACCGTGGGCTCAATTGTGGTCATAAGCCAAGGACGAGCTGTACACGAAGGCAACTGCCCTCTTCCATGGTGGCTCCACAGCCACCGGCCTTCCAGGTTTGGCTCTGGGGGCCCCCTCGGCTCTCCAGACCGGCTGCCCCTCCTCCCTCCTGGTCTAATCCCCAGTCAAACCATTAAAGGGATCCCCCCCCCACCCACCTAGGGGCCACAGAAGGCGTCTAGGTGCTGATTGTGGGGCGCAGAATCCATGGCTGGGAACAGAGAGGCCCCTTTCGAAGAGCGCTAGTAGCCTCCACTCTGCACCTTCGAGAGGGAGGGAGGGAGGGAGGGAGGGAGGGAGGGGAGGGGCAAGGGCTCCAACTTCCTTCAAGAGGGCAGGAACCCTTGCGGCCCCGCAAAGGGCAACCCTCCACAGGAAGGACTGGACACAGGAGGCATAAAAGCAACCAAGGCAGCCTTCTCCCGCCAGCCTCAACCTGGCCAGTGGGGCAGCAGCTTCAGGCTGAGCGGAGGCCCATTCCGCGGCCTGAATGGGCCTCCGGGGGCAGCCGAGGCTCCCCAAGGCGGCTGCTGACGGGCAGGAAGGGCCCCCGAGAGCAGGAGTTACCCTTTTGGTGGAAGGGATTCTGAGGCAGTCTTCCTCCACCTGGAAGCCGCACACCGTCCCAACCTCTGCAACAAAATCCAGGTATTCTCTGTACTGGCTCTTCTGGCTCTGCCTCCGGTTGTATTTTCCGTAGAAGTCGAAGAAGCAGCAAGGGAGCAGGAAATAGCGACAGGAGGAGGAAGACCTGCAGCAGGGAGGGAGGCAGAGCAAAGGCAGGACCTGAGGGAGGCGCCCAAATGCTCCCGGGGGCCTGGAGGAGGCGGCCCAGCCCAGCCGCCAGAAGCCCAGCCTTTAGATCTGCTGGGGGGGAGGGTGGACCATGTCTTAACAGCTTGCTCAATAACCCGATTTCACCTTCTCTGCTCCAAATGTGCGCCTGCACTCGGATGGACCTGGCTGAGGCTCCCAAATCCTGACTGCTCAACACAACTGCTAAATACCGTGAGTCAGATTCCCCAACCAGGGAAGGGGGCTGGATTTTACTACTGAACAGAGGGGATCCCCAACCGCTGCGCTGCAGACGTGACGGCTCAGCCTGTGCCTGCAGCTCCACTTGTACGAGCGGCAGGCCTGGCTCCATACACTGGCCTGCCACTCACGTGGAACCATCCCCTTACACGCACACACACACACACACACACACACACACAGAGGTGCCCAAAGCCAGAAAGGTTGGGGTGCCCTGACTTCATAAGTGGAACCATTTCTGCATTGGCTGCCGTGCACTTTGCAAACTGCCGCAGTGAAAAAAAATCAGAGAGACTCTCACAGGGCTGTGAATTCAAAAATCCGGGAAACTCTGCTTTAGAATTAGTTTAGAATTCACGCTGCCTCTACCCATTTCCCCTTCGTGGAAGTTTGGCCGGTCCGTCTCCTGCCTACCCACCCTTTGCAGGAGCTCAGATATTAACTGGCCTCCAATTTCAGTTCTTCTGAACCAAAACTTCCTGAACCTTTTTGCTCCAAAGCTCCCGTCCTCTTTCCATCCCCCCCCCCCCCCCCCCGAGATTCTTTGGTTCACTTTCCCTAAGTGCGCTTTCCTGGCGCAACTGAAAGCAGCTCCCATTTAACCGGAATGGTTTGGAGGCCTCCTGTTCTGAGGCTCAGGGGGCCAGGAAGGCCCTGGCGGGTACCTGGCTGCTATTACGGGGATCCAGGGCGTCAGCTCGTCCGAATGGTTCCCGATTAACCAGTCGGCCTCTGGGTACAGGTGGTCTGGATTGATGGCCCTTTCCTAATGGGAGAGAGAACAAGGCAACGTAACACAAAACACGCAAAGGGCCGCCAGTATTTTCCCACTGAAATCTCTCAGTGCCAATAACCCCCAACTTGAACCCAAAATTTCTGTTGCTAAGCATGACAACTGTTAAGTGAATTTTGGCCTCTTTTACGACCTCCCTGGCCACCGTTGTTAAGTGAGTCACTGCCATTGTTAAATCAGTCGCTCGGTTGTTAAGTGAGTCTGGCTTCCCCCTTGACTGGACTTGTCCTGAGGTCACAAAACAGATCACGTGGCCCAGGGGCGCTGCGACCGTCGGAAGTACGCGTCCTTTGCCAGGCGCCTAAGTTTTCCACCGCCTGGCCCTGGGGAAGCCCTGACAGTCCCCAGTGTGCGCAACAGGCACCGGCCGGTTTCAGCCGCTGCCTTGTGACTCTGAGCGCTCCCTAAGCGGGGACGGCCTGCGTTTCAGCTCCCAGGGGCCAGGAGAAGCCCCGTCGCCAGCCTACCTCCAAGCAGGTCTGGGGGCCGTACATGTCCCAGATTTTCCTCCTCCTGACGTCGATTCCTTTCCCCGGGTGCTGGAAGAATCCACACAGGGAGCCTCGTGAGGAAGCAGCCTCTGCTCCTCACCCCCGATGTTAAAAAAAGGAGGAGGGGGCAAGCCATTCTGGGAATGGGGGGGGGGAGGGCGGGGGACTGGAGCGGAGGTGGCCCAGTCAACCCAAGAGGTTAGTCCTCAGGTTCAGAAGGAAAGGGGAGAGCGAGAAGCCAAACGCTTGGAAGGGGGGAGACTTTCAGGGTGTTCCTGTCAGGGGGTTGGAGAAGCGGCAGTGGCTACCGTGCTCTTGGGGGTGTTGCTATTTTTCTGTAGGTGGTTTAAAATCCTTGTTTTATCCCCTCATAATAAAACGTGGTTTCTACTTGGGAGAGCCCATGCTGAATGGAGCCAAGCGGCCCGAGCAGTGACTGGCTGGCTTGCTGGGCCTTATTTATTCATTTAGAAAAGTTTATACGGCCGCCCAACTCCCTCCAGCAGGACCCGCACAAGCCTCTTTTCCCTCCTGTCTTGAAAGGGTTGATGCGAGAGCAGTGAAATAAAGGGAAAGGGTGACACGAAACAGCCACAACGAAACACCAAGGAAGAGGCTAAACTGCCCAGGACAAAGCCTGGCGTCACGGGGGGGGGGGGGGGGCTCAGGGGGGACCCTCTGATCTCCCCCAGGTTCTCTTGGCTCAGCCTGGTCCCACGGGGGCTGCCACAGAGAAGGCCGCCAACCTCCAAGGGGGATGAGCCGCCAGGGAACGCAGCCTGGCTGGGCAGGCAGAAGCCCAGGGGGAGGGGGGAGGATCAGCCCCTTAGGCCGCGAGAGGGACCCGGGGGCTCCCCATCAGGGCTAGGCCAGCCTTTCCCGACCTTGGCGGCAACCTGGAAGAGGCCTCGACGTCCAACTCCCAGAATTTGCTGGCAAGCTTGAGAAACGCCATCGCCCCAGTCACCCCCTTCCAACTGGGGGGGCATGTCTGGCCGGGGGACTAACGTACTGGGGGGGGGGGAGGCAGAGGGAAAGGGGGCTCAGCCAACACGGTACCACAGCCAACTTACCCCCTCGTTGCCTAAAATGTGGACCAGGAGCCCATTCCCACAGCCCAGGTCCAGAAAGGACTGCTTCTCGGACAGGCCCCTCCGAGCTCTCTCGTCCTCCCACAGGACCTAAGAAGACACGGCCGCCAGTCAGAAAAGCCAGGCCACCCGCAGCCAGAAGGAGCCCTGGGGCACTGTGGAAGGGCCAGCTGCCCTCACAGACGTCAGCCGGCCACTAACACAAAACTCCCTTTAAGCCCCTAACAACCGTTAGCAACACGCCCCCCCACAGCCATTTTATCTATTATTTCTATAAATAGCGGAAGGCAAGAAACAGAGCTAACCCTCCTCCTATTTTCCCAACCAGAATTCTGTGAGGTGCGTTAGGCTGAGAAAGTGTGAGTGGTCCAAAGACACCCAGCCAGCTTTCCTGCCTGAGGAGGGACTAGAACTCCCGGGCTCCTGGCTTTCTAGCCTCGGCCCTTAAGCACCGGACCAAACAAATTGCCACGTTCCGCTCGCCTCCCGGTCCAGTTTCTGAACCAGATGTATTAATCGCTCCCATCGGGTGCGTTCTGAGGACTCAAAGGGCAACCCTGTCCTACTCAGCCAGCAAAACCCCCTAGAGGCCGCTGGAGAGCAAGCGACCCTGTTCTCCTCTCTTTACTGCCTCTAGTGGCCCTCTGTGCTTCTGCAAGCCGGATGTGGGAGACAGCCAAAGACTTATGATTTAATGACACGCAAATCAAAGCCAGAACTTTTGGATTCTGTGTCTTTTTAAACTTTTGCAGGCTGTTGCACAGCTCTTTCATACCTATAATAATTCTGTCTTAATGCAATTTAAAACATTGCAGGAAGAGGTTGCTGTTAATCTTAGGTTGGGGAAAAAAACATGAACGTGGCAGCACCTTTTCCAGCCAAACTATTTTATTAAAAAGAATAGAGCTGAGATGTGTGTGTGTGTGTGTGTGTGTGTGTGTGTGTGTACTCGTGCGCACACAATCTAGTTCTCCAGCTGAGCCTGCATTATTGTTTGGATGCAACATGCAAAATCGCATTTTCTGCAGATTTTCTGGAATAACTGATTGTAACCAACTCCTCGTCTACCCATCTAATCACTTTGAAATGGCCCCACACTGAGCCTCCATTTTGGGGTTTGTGGCCTGGATATTCAGGTCATCCCGTGGCCACACCCGGTTGGACTTTAAGCAGCCACATCTCCCCGGTGCCTTGAGAGAGAGAGAGAGAGACCCGGGAATGCGCTGGGGCTGCCTCCCCGACAGCCAGTTCTACAAGGGGGACGAGGTCAAGAAAACGACCCGGCTTGGAGCCTTCTTCCCCGGGGCTCTCCCCCCTACAGTTGGCACCCTGACCCCTTTTCCACAAAGAACAAACAAACAAATCCTTCAAATACAACACTCGGCCACTCCTTGGAAACAAATATATAATCTCCTAACTGAAATTATTAACAAGACATTTTGTGCTCAAACTATTCTTTATAAGTTCCATTTTAGGAAGTTTATTATTTTGGAGTGATTTATACTTTCAGAGTAAACTTTTAATTCGCTTTTAAACACCACCTACCAGCAGATAAGTCGCTATAGCAACATCCTCATAGACAAACTTTTCAGGATCCGTTACCTCAGGCCAAACCTGTAGAGGAATAAGACGCAGGTTGAAATGATTAGCCACAGAGGTTATTCAACACAAAAGGTTCTTTCAAATGCCCAGCAGATGCCTGCACCTCAGGCCTATTCAGGGCCCACCAAACGGACACCGAAGCCAGTTTTTTTTTGGGGGGGGGGGCGCTCTGGAAAGAGGCTGAGCTCTCCCTGCCAACGCCATCCCCACGGACCCCGTTCCCAGCACCCGGCCAGCCTCCCTCCGTACCCTGCCACTTCCATGGCTAAGCAGGTTCCGCCGAGGCTTCGGAGGCATGAAAGCCCAGCCACGGAGGGAGCCGTTTTCCGCCCTGTCGCAGGAGCGCTCGGCCCACCATGCTGCTTCAACAGGCTGCAACACCAGGCTGGGGATAAATACCAGGAGCCGTTTTCTCTTTCGAGTGTCTTTTGCTTCCTCGCCCTCCAAAAGTGGGCAACGTTGTCCGTGGCCATTCTGGGGCCGCCGCTTCAGCTGGCACAAAGTGCGGGTGGGTGGGTGGGTGGGGGGCATGGTCAGTTACACCCACCCCTAGATCACCTCTGCTCCGGGAGCCACCCTGGTTGCCAGCTGGCTTCCGGCTTCAATTCAGAGCGCTGGCCGTGACCCCTCAGGCCACTGGACGGGGGCCGGGGGAGAGGCCTTCCTGCTCAGGCAGCCGCTGCGTGGCACACCCGATCCTCCTCCCAACCCTGCTGGTCTCCAGGAAGGCCCTGAAAACGGGACTTTGCCTTCGGGCCTGGGGTAGGACTACCTAAAGTCTTATTATTGTTATCATTATTATTATCATTATTATTATTATTACTAGGGAAACTTATGTTTTATCGTTTTGCTGCTTTTTCTTATGTTCTTTCATTATTTGTTTCCTCTTTTTGATATCCAGAGTCACGCATGTTAGAGGGACAGCGACATAGACTTACCAAATAAGTAAACAAGCGGACCACCACCCAACTTTAAGCCGATTCTTACAAAAGCAGCCAAATATTAAATTGGGCACCGGATCCTGTGACAAACCCGAAGGACTATTTTCCTCCCACATTCACCCCAACAACAGCTCCGTACTCGAGATTAGGGTCTTCCTCGCGTACGTTCCTTCTAACGTGACGTATCTACCAGCAATGCCCCTCCAGATTTTACATGTCGCAGTACAAATGGGGAAACGTTGTACAACAGGACACAAGTTTGGCATCAGGACTCAAACGCTGACGAAGTAAAGTAGTAGCAAAGCGTTCCAGACTTGCTACTTTAACAGAACTAAAAGCGGCTACCGGAGGGGGGGCGTGGGGGGGGGTGGAATCAAACTTCCCCAGCCCAACTGAGTGAGACTGCTGAATTTACACAATTTAAAAATTTCAGGCAATCTCTGTAGATGTCAACAAACCCAACAGGTTTTTAACACATTACAATTGTTAATTGACGAAATTATTGGAATCTGGCTCGTGTTTAACTCGCACCTGCGTAATTCCACTCCTCCATCGATCTAGACGTGCCGCAGACCTGATGAAGTAAGATGCGGCTCATGAATGCTTAGTAACATTTGCTAATCCGAAAAGCTGCAACCAGATTCCCAGAGATTTCACAAACCCAGGCGTGGCCCTGGGAATCGTTTGAGCAACTTTAGGCCAGACTGCACTGCAAGCAGATTAACGGCCAACACAGGCGAGCATCCTCTCCCTCCGGCAGTGATGGATTCCCACACAGATCTGCAGACCTTAAGCTTTTCCATCATAATTCTTGCTTTCTCGGACAGAACCAGATTCCGGCTTCCCCGCTTCCCTCCCGCTGGAGTTTTAGAAGGCCGGGATCCTCCACACGTTTTGCCCTTGACGCCGGATGGAGGATGCACTCAGCCCAACCTCTTCCGTTCCCGAGGCCCAAGCATGCTCCGTCATTTGATTTCCTTGTTCAGTTACGAACAAAACTCATGCTTCCAATTTAAGAAAGAGACAAACAAATGCTCTTCTGCATGAATGTTAAGTTCAAAAATGGCAAAGCGAAAAGCACTTACTTTGACCATCTCTTTGTACTTTTCCTTTAACTCTTGATAAACCTGGCTGTATCTAGCTACCGAAATCAGAGAAAGCGTTCTCTTAAACTCATTTTTCGTGATCTCTGTGGACCATTTAACCAGCTTAGAAATCAATTGGTTCCCTAGCCACTCTGCTTTGGGATATACAATTCCATCAGGAACATATTTTTCTGGATTCAGGAGCACTGACACAGTCCTACAAACAGACAAAAAATAAAATAAAATAAGGATCAGTCTCAATCAGTAGGAGACCACTTTAATTTAATTGCGCCTCTGGCCAATCGAGCAAGATTCCACTTTTATGGTACGCGAGCATGTAGCAAAAAGGGACAATATTTTCTTTCTCAAGTAGAGGAATTGGAGGCAGCCCAGGGCCTCCCTCACCTGCAGCATTCTTAGAAAGTAGCGCTAACAATTGCAAGTGAGATTTTCTTGCTCAAGAAAAATCACGAAACTCGTTCATCACCGTGGGGTAATGGAACGGCAGTTCGCTGACAACACTCAATTACGTAACTCCACCCTGGCAAAATTGAGCAATTAAGCCATGAACAGCTTATCTTGGCGTCTGGAATGAGGATCTGGGAGGTGAACAACAGGATTCAGCTGAACCTGAGCACCTCAGATTTTGGGGGGGGCCACCAGATCCAGGACTATCCCATCCTTGCCGCTGGATGGAGTTACTCTCTCCCAGACAGACCCGGTGGGCAATCCTGGGCTCCTCCTCCTAGACATTTGTGACTCCTGCTGAATGGGCAGTGACGGCTAAGAGGGCCTCTGCATAGCTGCTTTGTGTGCCAGCTGGGCCCCTTCTGCCTGCCCACAGTCACCTCCAGACTGAACGACTGCAATGGGCTGTGTATAGGGCTGCCCCTTGAAGGCTATCCAGAAGATTCAGCAGGACAGAAGGCAGAGGGTGCAGGCAGTTCCTTGTGCTCCTAGAACAGCACACGCAACAACTCTGCTCTGCAAACTGCATTGGTGGCAGATTACATCAGAGTCCAGCTCACACAGACCGTATTGCCAAAATCCAAATCATATCAGACTTGAGGCCAGTGACTCTCAAGCCAGATGCAACGTGCTAAATTTAGACCTTAATGAAAAAGATGCCTTATCTCAGGGGTGCCAAACTCGTGGCGTCATGTGACGTATCGCGACTTTTCCCCCCTTCGCTAAACCAGGCGTGGGACGCATCCAGCCGGCAGGCCATGAGTTTGACACCCCTGCCATATAAAATAAAATCCTGACAAGACTGAACAACAGCAAGAGAAACAGAGAACCACCGTTCCCTCGAACGCATCCGTAGTGTGACGAAAGGATTCAAAGGCAGCAGCGTCTTCCGAGCACCCACCATTCATCGTCCTGCATGTGCCGGAGCCGAATTTGATAAATGTTGCCGACCTTCACCTTGTATTGGCCTTGGCAGGTCTCTTCCAAAGGCAGAAAGGTCATCCTCCCATTAAGGACATCTGCAAAGAGTGGCAAAGGGTTCAGTCCCATTCTCGGTAGGACACACGTTCTTTAGGAAGGGGCAAAAAGGATGTTGGGTAGAAGCTCAGGATCGAATCTACCGAGCAAATGGCCTGGCAGGATGGAATCAAGGGGGGGGGGGAAGCAGACCAGACTAAGGAGTGGAGAATATAAACCCCCCCGCGAGGGAAGGGGGGGGGCTGGTGGATGCTTATCTCTCTCTGAGCTTGTTTCCTTGCGGATGTTTCAGGACCCAACATCAGGGCTGGGTTACACAGACAGACAGACACACACACACACACACCCACACACACCCCGCCTCCCTCCTGGCACCCGTGACCTTCTCCACTTGGGTCATGAAAGGCCAGGAAAGCCGCCCCCAGGGCCCCCCCCCCCAACCCCCTCTTCCTTCTAGCACCGGTGGGGTTATATCCACGGGCACGGCCCTCCACTTACGACCACAACGGAGCCCAAGGTTTATGTTGCTAAGTGAGAAATTGGCTAAGCGAGTTTTGCCCCATTTCACCACCTTTCTTGCCGCCGTTGTTAAGTGAACCGCCTCAGCCATTCAGTGAGTAACCCGGTTGCTAAGCATTTCCCCCCCACTTGGCTTCTCCAGGGGCACCGCAAGCCCTCACAAACGGGGGACAGCACCCGAAGATGCGTCCCGTGGGGGGGGGCTCCTGCTGCGACGATGGTCATTAAGCGTGAAAAGCGCCCCCCCCCCGTCACTTTTTCCAGGGCCGTTGTAACTTCGGTCCCTAAGTGAAGCGTTGTAACGGGAGGGCGGCCTGCCCGCAGCTGGGCCCTGAACCGCCTGCCAGGAAGGCGCCGCCAAGCTCGGGGAGCAGCCGGGACCCCGCAGCCCTCCCTCCCCCTCCGGGCACTGGGGAAGGTCCCTCGGGGCCGTCCCCGGGGAGAGGGAGGCGGCCTCCCAGCCACGAAGCCGACGCCCCCGGGGGACGGGCCTGCTCCCTCCCGGCCCCCCGCCCGGCGGGGGCACCATAAACCCGGGCGGGCGGGCGGCCTCCCTTCCGCGCTCGGAGTCGCCCACACCGCAGCCATGCCAGGCAAGGGGAAAGGGGAAAGGGGAAGGGGAAAGGGGGAAGGGGGTCGGGGACGGGCAGGGGAGGCCCACCTCGCGCCACCAGCTCCGGGGCGGGGGGCGGCGGCGGCGGCGGGCGGCGGGGCAGCAGGCGGCGCAGCACCAGCTCCACCGGCCCCCGCAGGCCCAGCGCCTGGCCCTCCGCGCCTGCGCAGAAGGCCCCCCAGGCCCGCTCCGCCGCGCCCGCCGCCCCGCCGCCCGCTCGGGGGACGCGCAGGGGGGGCTCCGCGCAGGCGCCGCTCAGCCGCTTGTTGGCCACCTGCGGCCGCTCCAGCCACACGGCCGCCGCCGCCCAGAAGCCGTCGGGCAGCCGCCCCGCAGGATCCCGCAGCGCCCCCTCGCCCACCGCCTCCATGGACAACCCCCGCCGCTTCCGGGATCGTCCCGCCGACGCCTGCGCAGTGGCGCTTGCCGGGGGGGGGGGCGGCCGGAAGGGACGGGGGCCGGGCAGGGACGCTCCTAGCCGCTTCTCCAAGGCCGCCTCCGCGCAGCCGAGACAGGTTGGGTGGCGGCAGGGTCCCCTCGAGGCCGTCTGGCCGAGCCCCCAGAGGCTGTCCGTGGAGGCCTCGACCCAAGGCTGCCTTTCCGCAGGTGCAGCGGTGGGGGAGGGGCTCCTTGGGCGTGGGGGGGGGGAGATCAGGAGCGTCCCGGGGTTCAGGGCAGCTGGAGAGGTGGTGGCCCCCCCCCCGAAAACCCCCCCCCCCCCCCGAGGAGCCCCGGCCGCCCTGTGACGCCCCCTCCCCCTCCCCCTCCTCGCCCCTCTCAGGTCGCTTCCCAGCCTCGGCCTTCCGCCTCGGGATGGCCGCCTCGGGTGGGGAAGCGGCAGCGCCCAGCCGGCCCCCGGAGCCCCCGCTGCTCCCGGACCTGCCCCGGGGCCCCCTGGGCGCCTACCGGAAGAAGGCCTCCTTCGCCTGGCGGGAGATGGCCCTCTTCGTGGAGGAGGAGGAGCTGCTCCGCTTCAAGGTGAGGCTCCCCTGGAAGGGCCCCCCCGCCGCCCCCCCCCCCGCCCCGAGGGGCCCAGGAGCTCCGTCCGCCCGGCTCTGTAATGCTGGGTCCCGTTTGCCTGGGTGGGTCGTCCCTTGATGCCGGGGGTCGGTTTGGGGGGGGGGCAGCCTCGGGGGTCTCCCGCTTGGACTCCAGGGTCCCTTCCAAGGCTATCCTGCTTGGAGTCCTAAGGGCTGGGTTTTTTATCTAGAGTTTTAAAAAGGAGGTGAAAACTAATGTCAGAAAAAGAAAATAAGAAAGAAATCAAATAAGAATGATAAAAGTGCAAAAAAGGAAGGAAGGAAAGAAAAGAAAGAAAGAAGAAAGAGATACACAAAGGTATAAAGGCATACTGATCAGCTAATAAAAGTTCTGAATTTAGTTAGGGCTTTCTATACAAAAAACTTGCTTTTTTGTGTGTTTTATTATTTATTTTATTTTTGGTGTTTATTTTGCTGAAATAAATTTTCCCCCTGCATCGGAGCAGGAGTATATCCAGAGTTGCTCATAGCAACGATTTCAGCTCTAGTCGGAGCCTTTCCCAGAAACCGAAGAGAAGGTTTGTGATGCAGGGTTGAATTGTGGAGCTCTCAGTTGTTTGCTTGCAGATTTTTTGCTACCCAGCAAAATAATACCATTGGCACAAGTGGTTGTGGTCTTTGCTGCCTCTTTTCTTGGGTTGGGTCACAAAATGTCTGCAAGGAAACCACTCAGCTCAGAGTGCCCCAAGAACGCTGCCTTTCCGGAAACATTGGTGATGAGAAGACTTCATACACGTGTTCTCTCTCTCTCTCTCTCTCTCTCTCTCTCACACACACACACACACACACACACACGGGGGGGGGCACTAAAAAAGGGAAACGCATGCAATATTTTGTTACCAAATACAAGTTTTTAAGGGCCCGGAAGTTGCTGTGACAGGAATTCTTCCTTCGAGGAGCATTCAAAGTATCCTCATCCTTCTTTTTAGCCCTAAGAGCTCCCAAACCTTTAGTTTTACAGTCCCAAAGACATGACATGTGAGCAGGAGGAAGGAGAAGGAGAAAAATGCATTCGGGGTCTTTTGGTTCACGTTCTCTTACATTGTCTTACTGCCAGAAACGGCTTAAGAATGTATGTATTGCTGACAGCTTGGAACTGACTGAAGCCTTGACTGAATTTTTTGTTGTTCATGAAGCACAAAATATTCTCGGCCCTTGAAAACGACCCTCTCTTTGCTCGTGTCCCCGGAGAAGAGCTGCCGCTTGAGAGGTACCGGGAGCTGACCTTCCTGCGCTGTCGGAAGCTTTTTGAATACGATTTTCTCATCTTGGAGGAGATTCTTGCAAACCCCCTGAAAGTGCTTGTTCTGATCAACTGCCTGGGGATGTATGACTGGTCCCTGGGAACCAAGTACTTGCTCAACTACCAGGTAGGTGCCGTTGCTCTCCCTGCATTGACACGCCGAAGCTGCGTGATCAGGAGCCAGGGTTCGTTTCATTCCCTCCTTACCTTTGCTGTGAAAAGCTATTTGGTCCTAATATTTTCCCCCCTTTTTTAATGTACAGTTGTACTATTTGCTTTATCAGTTTAATATGTTTCTTAATAAAATGGTATTGTGTTGTGGCCCCGATTCCTGAGCCTGTGCTGTCAGAGGAAGAAGACCTGGACGATGAGGAGGAGGACCTGGACGATGAGGAACTGGGAATGCCTTCCTCCCCAGGACCTTCCTCTCTGGCAATGCCTCAGGTTTCATCAGACAACCGAGAGGAACAGCCTGAGATTTATCAGGAGGAGGAAGGCATATCGGAGCAGCCCCTGACAAGGAGTCAAGAGGAAGAGTGTTGGCTTGATCCTAGGCAGCGTCGTAGGGAGAAACGTGAGCAGCAACGTAGGAGGCATGGAAGGGTCAGAGAGTGAGCTAAGTCCTTGAGCCACACCCCACAGGGGATAAAAGTGGGTGTGTTTTCTCCTGAAACTTTGTACCGGACAAAGTTTAACCTTACTTCAGATTTTGTAATTTTCTGTGAGTAGATTTTTATTTGTTATCAGTTCGGACTTGGCAAGCAGAGGGTGTTGGAATGCCAAGGGTATTATCAGTTCCAAAGAATTAACTCTGTGAAGTCCGAGACAGCTTGCCTGCCTGTGTTTGTGTGAGTTTGGATTCTTTCATCTTTTGGGAAAGAAGAAAAGTGAGACAAAACAGTGTTGTATAAATAAAATTGTGATAAAATGAAAAAAAGCTATCTTGCCTGGAAGAATAGTTTAAGCATTTTCCACTTGAGGGGCGAATAGTGAAACCTCATTACACGTAAACTTTGCGGAACATTTGATGGTTCTTAATTGGTTTGTTTTTAGTTCACCGGCTTCTGTTAATGCCATAGGTGTTCAAGGACAACATTGAGAGTTCCGGATCTGAAAGACACGCAAAATTCATTGAACAAGTTGAAAGCATGGAGGTACCGCTTCTCTATTGTTTGAACCTTGAAGTTGCTGGCTTTGCTTTTACAAAACTTCATGAAAAATAATAATAATAATAATAGGGACCTTCTCCCAAATAGGCAGCCACTCCCTTTTTCAACTTTGATCCTGTGCGTGCTGTAGCTTTTCTAGTTGCCCAGGAATTGCCCAAAGGGCAGAGAAGATGCTGCTTGCAACGCTGCCGCCCAAGCTCTCCCGGTCCTTGCGCCTTGGGAGCCCTTCCTTGCCCCCCCCCCCCCACCGAGGCTTCGCCGGGAAGGGATCTGCCGGGCCTTGGACCCCTGCTCTTAGCCCCGAGGCTCAGGCCCAGCGCGGAGGGGGACCAGGGGGCAACGGTGCTTTGGTGGGGTTGCCCTCCCACTCTCAAGGTCTCTTTTCTGTATCTCTCTTGGCCACAGATATTTGGATGCTTTGCACTCACCGAACTCAGCCACGGCAGCAACACCAAGAACATCCGGACAGTTGCCAGATACGACCCGGAGACGCAGGTCAGGCGGACAACGGGCGGCAACGGCGGCTTCTAGTCCACAGTGGGATCCCACCCGTTCCACTACCGCTTCAGTGGTCACGCGCGTGCAGCTTCCCCCACACCATCTGAGGCCCTGCCGCGCCAGTCAGCCGAGAGGAGAAAAGCTCGGGGCCCAGTAGGAGGGAGGGCCAGCCCTCGTTTTTCTCTTCTTTTTCCTCTCAGCTGATCTTCTGAGGCTTTTTTTCCTACCAGTTTGGCCAAACCAGTAAGAACGTTTGCGATCGGTTCAGGTGAACCGGGCCAGACCGGTAGCAAAGCACCGCTTCTAGTCCGTAGCCTTCAGTTCCATTAAAACGATAGCATTGGATGTGGAAACTGAGTTTAAATGGACCCGTTGGCTAACGGGGGGGGGGGGGGGTGGGGGGGGGTCCGTTTTTCCACCAGAATCTGTCAAGGAGGTTTAACTGGGGCCTTGCAAGCAACTCAGGTGGCTCCCTTTAACTCACGGAGGCGACTTCGCTGTGCTGGAAGGATTTAGAGCCGGGCTTTGCCGGTTGTGAGGTTTCCTGTAGAAACAGCTCCCGTTTTCTGCCTAAACATCCTAGGATCAAATGCATGTAGTCTTTGACTTACGACTACAGTTGAGGCCAAAATCTTTCTTGCTAAGTGAGACAGGTGCTAAGTGAATCACTGGAGACGTTAAGTTAGTCAGACGGTTCTTAAGTGAATTCAGCTTCCCCATTCACGGGACCCCCCGGGATACTGCGACCGTCATAGCTAGGAGTCAGTTGCCAAGTGCCCGAGGGTTCCTCCTGTGACCTGGGGCAGCGGCCTGAAGCGTGACAGCCAGGCGGGGGTCTCCTTCCCCAGGGACAACGCAGCGGTCCCTGCACAGCCTCTGGGGGGGTGGGGGGGGGTCCAGGAAGGAGGGCAGGGGGAGCCAGGCGAGCCCTTCCGTTCCCCCCACGCGATGTGGAACCTCTCTTCCCGGCCCTGCAGGAGTTCGTTCTACACTCGCCTGACTTCGAGGCTGCCAAGTTCTGGGTTGGCAACATGGGGAAGAGCGCCACGCACGCGGTGGTCTACGCCCAGCTGCACACGCCGGATGGCCAGCGCCAGGGGATACATTCCTTCGTGGTGCAGGTGAGGGGCGTGGCCTGGCTTCCCGGGGCTTGGCACAAGAGGGCTGCCTTTCCTTCGTGCCGGGGTGGACGATGCCGTCAGCACAGCCACCGGGCCCGGTTTTCAGGCACCCTGACGGGGAGAGGCTGGGTTTGAAGTGCGGAGGGTTTCTTTGGCCCTTCAGCTGGGTGGAAAGAGTCTGGAGGTGGGTTTGCCACGGCCACCTTCTCCTCCCCCCAAGGGCTGGGGGTGGGGGGTCGTGCTTCAAGCGGGACTAGAACTCATGGATCTCTCCAGCCTGGTGCTGAACCATGACTGGCTCCCTTGAGGCCACTCCTGGAACGCC